TCTAATATTACACTCTGCCGCTCTATCTGCGAAAACTAACTAATAAGAAGCTTAACACTAGAGGTCTTATATTACTTCTACTTAAGCTATACTCTTAACAAAGTGTAGAGTCTTATATAAGTAAAATCTTAACTTTATACTTACTTAAGGTCTATATAACTCTACTCTATATCTACTTAAGGCCTATATAACTTGACTCTACATTATATAATTAAAGTATAGGGGGGGTACCTATTTACTAGCGTAAGCTATACTTCCAAAATCTTAATAGAATACTAGTAAAGAAAATCTAAAATAAGTTATTAATTAGAATATAATGTAGCCTCTATATCTTAGAAATTTAAGAGGTAACCTATATTATGTACGAGTACGTCTAAATAAGTGGTTTTAACGCGCTAGTTTAGTATACCTCGATAACTATAGAAGGTTCTCTACAACCTTCATTGTCTCGACCAGCTCCTCATCCATCATACTCTTCCCTACAATCTGTACATGCGTTGGTAACCCTTCACACTCCTCTGGCTCATCTGTCTCCACGTTAGTTCAAACTCACAATTGTAACTTCCTCTTTCCACTCAAGCCAAAAGGGGGAGAGAAAACGAATAAGAACTTACATGGGGGCTCATATATCACGCCCTCCTTGACAAACTCTTTGTCTTGCTCCTGATCAGCCTTGCCCACGTTTAGAATGCCACTTGGATAATTGAGCAGATTAACGACGACTGTGAAGATTGGCAAACCATATGTGTCATGTTTTGGTGCCACGCTTTGGTATCCGGGCATAAGAATCGCATCGAGTCCTTTCTGCATTGTACCTCCTTCTGCTGGCTCACCAACCATCAGTTTGTGGAACTGATTGAGTATACGGCCCTTCTCTACATTCATATCCCACAACTCATCCAAACTCGCCTGCCAATCCTTCAATTCAGGGAACCCGGTTTTTGCGATCGATGGTATGAGCGGCTCACCGCTCGCCTTGATGTACTGGAAAGGTGTTTTGCGGGGGTCAAGCATGAAGAATTTCCACGCCAGCATGGATGTCTGGTACATATCAGGTATCTTCTCGTCCAAGAGTACAATCTCGTGTCCCTTAGCCTTCAATTTCATAGCCGTAGAGTGCAGCGCTCGGGCAATGGGTGGATGCAAAGGTCGTTCTTTGCAGCCACGGATTAGTCCAAATCGCAAGGGTTGCGTAGAAGGCTGCACGGAACGCCAGGGCACGTTCAGACTGTTTGGATCAAGTAGCCAAGGCTGTGTGCTACTCACAGACTGGAGAAATAGGGCAAAGTCGCGGGTGGTGCGGCCACAGGGGCCAATGACTACAGGTACTGAGCCGGGAGAGCCCAAACGACCGACCGCTGCTCCACCAGCGAAGGGAACGCGGCCTGCGGTGGGTTTCAGAGAGGCACCACCGCAGCATATGGCAGGGATGCGGTTCGAGCCGGCAACGTCTGTGGCTACACCCATTATGCTGCCTTTCATGGCGATGAGTGCGCCTTCACCACCAGTGGAGCCGCCGGCGGTATGCGATAATCTATTCGGATTCAAGGTGCGCCCAAAAATGTTGTTTTGGCTGTCTGCTGTCATCATGGTTTGAGGAAGATTGGTTTTACAATAGAAGACTGCACCGAGGGAGTGGAGGACGGTAACCAATGCCGAGTTCGTAGCAGCCGGGGGATGCGGGATGAAGGATACATATCCGAGTGTTGCTTGTACACCTCGCACATTAAAGGAGTCCTGTTAAGATCATCTCAGTAATAGGTACAAGCCGGTGTTTTGGCGCTATAAATTCTGAACCCCGGAAGGGTTGCTGATAGCGCCTTCTGGTTGTAAATCACACACCTTGAGACTGATGGGTAACCCATGCAGCGGTCCCAGGACCTTTCCCTGTTTCTCCAAATACTCGTCACACTCTCTTGCCCTAGCCAGTGCCTCGTCGAACATAATCTCTGTAAGACAGCTAACACACTGCTGTGCGATTGCTGCTCTCTTGCAAAATGCCGTCACCACTTGCGTACTCTTTAACTGCCCCTCAGCCATCATCTTGACCAAATCTGTGGCATCATAGTTTTCGGTGATGTCTAGTTCTTTCTCCGTCAAAATACCACATGTTCGAGGTACATCTAGTACAGAGATGCTGGACGTTTCAGTGTATTGAGATGTCTGAGATGTAGGGAGAAGCCAGTCTTTTGGGATTTTGGCGAAGACTGATTCTCGTTTGGATTTGGCCACTGCTTGCCAATCAGCTATGGGTGGTGCAGACGCCATCTTGCCGTTTTTAATTTGGTCAAGAACCTATGTACAGCGAAATTCAGCAATGATGTAGCCTCTTGTGAAGATTATATGGAACGCTAGTGTTTAAAAACGTTCAAGATGCAAGTTAATCTAGAAGAGCGGTAAGACTATAATATACAGGACAGGCATCTTCTACTGCACACTGCTAGTGAGGGGAAGTATGGGGAGCCGGCCGAAATTGCCGATCGGAACAAAGTTCGGAATCGCCCAACAGCGGGGATTATTGTGGGTATGCTAGTCGTTCAGCAGGAAATGAGGTCGGCCGGCGCGGGCTTGTCACTAGCAATTAATCAGAGGCAGCACATGTGGGAGAAACTGTGTCTTTCACAGAATTGAAAAGTCTGTAATCCCCACCAGCTACTGGTTGTTGTTCGACAAAGTCGAACAACTGCAATATCGGACTTGACATTATTTACGAGAATAAGCGGTTGGCAAATGATTCCTCGGTTAAGTTTGCCTATGGGGAACAGATGTATCAACCAAGCCGCCTCTCACTTTTATCGTACGGGGACTTGCTTCGAGTCTCTCTGCGACGTCTGCGATCCCTCGATCGCGATCTTGATCGTATCCCATCTGTATGAAGTTGGCGCCTACGTTCTGGACGATCTTCTTGTCGCTTATGCTCACGGCTCCTTGACCGATACCTATGTCGGTCATGTCGGTCATCATCTCTCCGCCTGTCGCGCGAGCGCGAGCGTGAACGGTCTCGGTGTCTATGGCGTCGCTCTCGGTCTCGCGACCGGCTTCGTGTCCGATGACGTCTCCTCCGCTCTCTGTCGTCGTCCCTGTGCCTCCTGGAACGCTCCTTCTCCTCCCTCCTCTTCGCCCGGTCCTCATTCTCGCCCTCCCGGGCTTTCTCCTCTATTTTATCTTCAACATCAGCCTTGTGGGCCTTTTCACCTAACGGCGTCAGGTTTGCGTTATTCCGCACTGGCACTGGGAGGCCCATGGCAGCAAGCATCGCGTCTTCCTCTGCCTCCTTCAGTTTGCGCTTTTCTTCCTTGATACGCGATGCTTCGGCCTCTTTGGATTCAGCATCGCCTTTCGCGTACCAACTAAGATCACGGCCTTGTTGCCAACGCCCAACAGGCGCCATGACCGAGTGACCGAGATAGTTTTCACGCTGCGCATCATTCTTGACATCCTCCCATTTGAAATCACCGCGGCCACCACTGAGCCATGGTTAGCTAGACACACCTGAGATGTGATACTGAAAGTCTTACCGGCTGCCTTCTTTGCGTACAGTCTGAACAAGATCCATGGTGAAATATAGGGCTGAACAGGATCGAAGGTGGATGTCAGGATTAGATTGTGAAAGTTGCGGGCAACACGGAGGTGAGAGGCCCGAGCTCCTGCGCGCTTCCCCACGCGCGAACACGGTCCGGCTTCAAGGAAGTGCACCAACATTCCACACAGAGCAGAGCCTCCTGCAGTCACTCCCATACATCATCGCCAGAATGCCACCGCCACTCCCACCCCCAGACGAGCAGGAATTTGACCAGCCCCAGCTCATCAGTGGCTTACCTACCCCCGACCTACATGCAGGAAATAACCTCTTCTGGTACTTTACCTCGTCACCCTGGTTCGACTCTGAATGCATCAACATCGACGTCTATCTCAACCTGCGCCAAAATGACCCGGCTGTTGCGGAGAAGATCATGAATGATCCAAAGCTGTGGCAACAGAGACTTGACGATCAGCCCGAAGGAACCCAGTACGTTATTGCGGGCGAAGGCCAGGGCGAAGGCCACCCGTGGCTTCTGCAACGACAGCACAAGGTACGCGTCACGGAGAATGACAAAGAGCGCGTCGAAAACTTTGTTGAGGGCAATTGGTATACCCATGGGACCAAGATGCTCATGGCACCGAGTTTGCTGGATATCGTGCAGAGCAGAATGGTAAGGTTCAACGGAAGACGGTTGTGCAGAGCAGATGTCTGACATGTCTCGTAGCTTACTGTTTCGACACGGATGCAACAGATGGCCGAGCTTTCCAAGAACATGACGCATTGGACACCTGCAACCGGCTACTCATACTTCCCCCCTTCGTACGAAACTGCAAAGGCAACGACTACAGCGAGCCGAGTCGGTAGCCCAACGCTAGCTCCGACAGATGCAGAAGCCCCAGGCTCGCAGTCACAAGGCGCAGGCGTAGCCGCACAGTCCACAGATTCAGCTGCTTCAGCCACGGACTTCTCTGACGCACTCTTCATGCACTCGCTCAACCTCACAAACGCGTATGGCGACGAGTACATGGATGAAAATCCGCTCAAGGGCGAACCTGGCGCCTTTGTCTTTGAAGGCACCAAAACAGCCGTCACTGCCAGGAACAAGGCACAGGAACAACAGGCGAATCAAGTAGTACAGCCCGTACCAGCAGCTCCTACTGAATTGAAAATCGATACCACAACGCCAAGTGTAGCGCCCTCTGCAGTGGCTACACCAAAAGCAGTGGCAACTCCCGGGGCGATGGAAGGCCATAGTAGAAAGAGCAGTGTAGCGCCTGGGTCGAAGAAGAAGAAGGATAGGCGGAAGAGCCAGGCTGGATTAGCTAGTCCAACCACACCCAGTGTGCCCCAAACAGGATAGCCACTATTGCGCCATCATTTTGAGCGACATGCTTATTTCTTGTTTTTCTTCATTCGGGCTAGTACTTGGCTAGTTTTTTTTCCTTTTCCTTAGTGATACCCTCCCAAAATCAATACATGTATATGTCCATAACAAGGAATCAATACGTCCATATTGCTTCTCCAGACATCCTAGTGACTATCGCTCGAGAGCGATAGACATGAGCCACACCCTTTGACTTACACTGCTCAGATTCGGATGGCAAGAGAGATCCAAAATGATGAAAGCCCCTAAAGGGGATCTGGTGAAAGAGAGTGGCATGCACTATCGCACTAAGTATCAGGCATGCGCATTCCATTGTCCTGGGGCCCAAGAACATTCATGTGCGAAAGAGAAATCCAAAAATCTATTCAATCTATAGGTAGTTATTAAGACAGTGTATTTTTTTTTAAAAAAAAGCAAAGGCTAAAAGCAGCCAAACAACAGAAACTCGCATGTATATACAAGATATTAAAAGAAAGCTATGGATAGTAATACGGGCTACTTGGATGAATTCATCACATTTAAAAAGAAGCAGAAGTTGCGAAGTGGTTGAGTGGGTAAATCCCGGATCCTACGCATGGCACCCCGTTCGTCTGGTTGGTGTTTGGTGTGCGACGACGAAAGTGCAATGCGACGTGGATCTCCGTCGGATACGAGTCTTGACTAACTAATCATCCCTAAGAAGCGAATTGTGAGGGAAATAAAGAGATATCCCTCCAATGCCAACAGAAAAAAAAGAAACCCAAGTATAGAACTCCATGCCAGATGCCGCTTGCTTCCTGTCATATATCACCATTTGCAGTTTGGTGAAGTTCTTCACCGAAACAGTTTCTTTCGTCCGTCCAACAAGAAAAAAAAAAGCCTCCAGTGCAAGAGTCCCGGAAGATAGCCTAACCACACCAGTAAAGTAACAAAGGAGAGATACCAAGCGACAATGTTGAAGAGTGGAAAAACGATCGAGTCGTTGAGGTGTTGCAGATGAAGCTGAGAGTGTACAAGTGAAAAGGTAAAGAGGAGAGAGAGATATAGGAAAGTGGTATCTCTAGTAGGCTACAATTTGAAAAGGTGGTTGAGGTTAAGCATCGTAGAACTCTTGCTGCCTCAGGAATAACGTATTCCGTGGAAAATACAAAATAAAAGGAAATAAGGAAATGAAAAGTTGTCAAGACTACAAGTGGAAGGTTTAAAGTGCCTTACCACACCCACTCAAGGTCGCCCAGGTCATCGTGGGCCTGGGCATGATCGGCATGGGAGCGCCAATCTTTGCTCTTATACCAGTTGTCCACTTTCTGTTCCCAGGAGCCATGGTTGTTATTCTCGTTATGGCTGGAACCCCAGTGGATTGGTCGTCGTCCAGCCCCAGTGCGACTCCGCTTCCTGGCGGAGTTTGGAATGGGTTGAGCTTGTTTGGGCGACTTAATAGGCTTGGAAGGAGTTTGTTGGGCCTGCACGGCGGGACTGCGACGGCGATCGCCAAGAGCAGCCCACTTGTCGGCAACTGAACGCTTTGGAGGAGTATTGCGGGTAGCCGCAGACGAACGATGCTCCTCAAAGACAAATCCGGTAGCCGCACTAACGTGGTCGACAGCAGTGCGGTGGTTCTTGGGCGTGGGGCTCCTGCTGTTGTGGATGGAGATGGGGTTCTTCATCTCGGACAAACCGCCACGGGGAGTCGACACGCCGGAGCCAGCTTCAGAAACAACGGGCTTGGTCTTGGGCTTCTCAGCACCGAAGGAATGGCAGTTGTTTTCGAGCTCGGCAAGAAACTGGGCATCGTCATCCTCTTCTTCCCAAAGATCACTCCAGCTCTTGGATATGACATCACGCTTCTTGCCAAAAACCGAAGACATGCTGTTGTAAGGCTTGGTTGGAAGCGAGCCGGAGATGGGCAGAGGTCGAGATCGAGTGAAATTCACAGGCTCGGGTTTTGCGCCATCGGTCGACTTGAAGGACAAGCCCAGGCCGGAATCCACAAAGGATGCAGCAGAGGCGCTGTCTGGCTTGACGTCGTAGGGAGGTCCCGAGAACATGTCATCCTCATAGATTTCGTTGTCGGGAATAGCCGAGAGCTGGCGGAACTGCTGAGGTGGAGACATGGCAAGAGCCTTGGCCCAAGGGAACGAACTACCATTGTCAAGCTGCGGCGTTGAAATGGATGGTGTTCGAAGAGGCTCGCGGTTGGCGCCGACAGCGACAACATCACGCTCCTCGGTGCAGAAGTCATCGAGGCTTTCATCATCAATAGTGAAGCTGATGACGCGCTCCAACGCATCCTTGACGGCGCCGAGGTCGCGCTTCTCAGGATCAATGGCCAGGCACTGCCTAATGACTTCAAAGGTATCTTGCGACATGTTGGGAAAAACATCGAAGAGACTCTGACGGTCAAGGGCAAAGTCGGCGTAGAGGGGGTCTGACGAAGACGGTACGGCAAAAGGGTTGCGCTGAAACAGGATGTTGAGGAGGACGATGCCAATGGCCCAGATGTCGGCCTTGGCAGTCGAGTAGCCAGTGTTGGAGGGGTCGTACTGCTCAGGAGCCATGTAGCGGTCGCTGCCGACAGCAATCTCGTAAGACCAAGGGTCAGAAGTAGCGAGACCAAAGTCGCCAAGCTTCATGGAGCCATCCTGGGTGAGGAAAATGTTCTCCGGCTTGATGTCGCGGTGGTAGATTCCCTTTGAGTGGATGAACTCGACAGCATCGACAAGCTGCATCATGAAGTCACGCACATGCTCAGTCTCGAGAGGGCCCTTGCCATTGCGAATGGCTTCGTACAGGTCACCATTGGAGCAGAACTCAAGAACAAGGTAGATGTGGTTCTGGGTCTCAAAAGACTGGAGCAGGTTGACCACATTGGAGTGATCACCAAGACGCAGGTGAACACCAAGCTCTTCGGAGCGCTCATCGACTGCAAAGGCGGAAGGGCAGTTGATGGCGGCCGAACTCTTGGTAATGACCTTGACAGCAACATGGTCGCCAGTCACAAGATCCTTGGCCTGGAAGACCATGCCAAAGGAGCCATTGTTAAGAGGAGAGATTGTTTCATACCGCCCATTGAGTACAACGCCTTCGTGAAGATGATCGCGCATGCACTCCATGAGGGATGTTTGGGGGTGGAGAACTGGAAGGGAAAGGGCCAAAGGTAAAAACTCAGAGGTCTACCCGGTGGCTGTGACAGTGCAGGCGGATGTGGTGTGGAAGCCGGCAAACAAACAAGGAAGAAAACAGAAAGGTAAGGCTCGGTGTCAAAAGCAAACAATGGGTCAACAGCCGTCAGCCCAAAAGCGATGCTCTATCAGACTTTTTAGGTGACTGTGAAATTTCGAAGATAGCGATAATATGCTTGTAGCGGAGTCGGAAAAGAGACGATATGGTTGCCGAGGAGAGATGTCGTAAGGTAACAGCGAGGCCGTTTGGGTGAAACTAAAAAGCAAAGTCGTCGGTGATATGCACAGGTGGAGTCCGTCGACGGAAAAGACAAGGAAAGGTTCAAGAGAGTGTGGTTCTCATTTGCCGGTATTAAGTGCGTATGGATGACTCGAGTCAACGAGCTATCGGAGAGAGCGGCAGGTGATGAGATGGAGTCGTTGACGTCCAAACAGGAAGAGGGATCGCTGCGTAAGAGGGCAAGGAAGAGATGGAGAGAGAAAGAGTCGTAACGCGTGGAGGGAGGATCGTCGGTAGGCAGACAGAAGGTTGTTGTCTGATGACGCGGTTGACAGCGTGAGTCAGGTGCACGGGCCCACGTAAGGAGAGCTAGCGGGTGTCGGATAAAGAGGGGGTTTGATGAGGCTAGCTGGCGACAAGCTGAGAGGGAGGATGTGGATTGAGTGCTCGGTGAAGCTTGGAGCAGCGCAGGTCGTGGGCCTGAGGAGTGGTGAGGCAGGAGAGGGCTCGAGGAAGGGGGGTTGTGTTTGGCTAGCTGGCTGTCTGACGGGTGTTGGGATGGCCTGCAGCTGGCTCTCTCTGTCACATCAAAACAAAGGCCCGGCGATGGCGGCTAGGTGGTCGAGTGCAATGGAGCAGAGCAAGAGGGCGGTGCGATTGTAGCAGAGGGAGGCTGTGGGCCAAGGCGAGGTAGGGGGGGAGGGGTGGCAGACGTTGTTGTTGGCGGTGTTGACGTATGGGTAAGCTGCACAGCGGTTGCGGAAGGAGCGAGCGGAAGGCGAGTATTATTAACGGCAGCAGCGGTAGGTGAGGCGGCGGAGGGCGGAGGAGGGGACGATGGCGGTGGAGAGAAGCAACGCTAGAGCTTGCGAACAACGACGAGAGCAGAGATGGGTACGTGTTATGGAGGCATCGGGAGACGGTGGTGAGGTGAGGAAGCGGACGGCGGACGGGCATCCTGGCTATTAGAGGGCAGCGCCAGGAGCAGGCGCAGCTCTTGGGGGGGGGGGACCCGCTTGCAGCAGGGCGGCGTCGAGGCTAGCCGGGGTAGGGCAGCAGGAGACTAGGGCGCCGCTGCGAGCTACGTGGCTTGCATCACCAGATGCTAAAGCAGCGTGGCCACGCCCCCCCTCGTCGGAACCGCCACTGGACGGCCAACTCTGGGCTGCCAGCTTTCCATGGCCTTCGGTCTTGTTCGACGCTCGTCACGGCGGCGTCGGACGAGCCAGAGGGCGCGCTCGCTGTCGGCTGTCCGCGCGCTGCTGTCCGCTCGCTGCTGTCCGCCTGCTCGGGCGCTCGTCTTGTCGCCAGGCCCGTCTCGCACGGCAGTCCTTGCTGGTGCTGCATCATGGCTCTCATCAGTGGAGCCCCCGTGTGCGTGCTCGTCGCTGGCTCTGCCTCCGTTGCAGGTGCACGCTGCACGTCTGGCCGGACGGGTCCCGCTGCGGTGATGACGGTGGGACGGCCAAAGACGCCTGAAACATGGGCCGTGGCTGTCGCCTGCCTGCACACGCAGACTCGTCCACGTACTATACTTGCTCACATAGTCAGTCGTAGTATGCTAGTACAATATGGAGCAGACACTCGTCGCCCCCTCGCCCACGCACACGCACCCGCACACGCACGCAGACGGCGCACAATCCAGACCACCAGCTGTCGTGTGCCAATGCAGGCTTAGCCCCCCAAGCGCCGCCTCGCAGGCCGCTGCTGATCTGGGTCGGGTGCATTGCGCTCCCAAGCAGCCACCTGGCCTTTGATTGGTGCTGCCTGCAGCCCGTCTGCTGCCCTCGACCACTCGACAGCCTGCCCCAACACGGCCGTTATCTGTGGTTTCGTGATGCTTGCCACCTCGTCTCGCCGCTGTACTGAGCCGCATGCCATGTCGTGTGAGCATGGAGCGGTTGCCCGCCATGCAACCCACTGCCCACTGCCATCCAGGGGCTTCTCGCCGCCAAGTCCAGCATGACAAGTGTTTCGGCAGTCGGCGCGCGGGGCCTGCCATTGGCCACGCCCTGCTGCTTGTGCTCCATCCACCCTAGGCGCCAAGGCCGGTGGGTAGCGGCAACATGTAGGAATCCGGGGAAAGCTTATGCGACTGCGAAGCCCTTTTGTGCCTTGCGGCCTCATGGCCTTGCAGTCAGCGCCAGCCGGCTGAGTGATTATCCTCGCAATGCCATTGTACCATGTCGGCGCCCTGAAACACAGACACGATCTGCATCACACGGGGCCCGATGCGCGAACCAGAGCACAAACCGCTACTTACTCCATGTGTCTACATGTGAGTAAGTAACCATATATACTATGTACTTGGCTACATGCTGCATACAGGCCGTCATCGTCATGGGCCTTGTCGTGCTGTCCATTACCCCGTCGCCGCCAGAGTACTGCCGAGCTGGGACTCGTGGTGCACGCTTCGCATGACCCTATCCTGCTCTACACCAACTTGGTCGATAAGACGCGCAGTAGGCCGGCACTAGGTTGCGGTAGATTGCAGCAAATGGCAGCAGCGAGCCACCCAGCCAGTTGTCTTGGACAGGCTACTACTGCAGGTTGCATGCAAACGGGACATTTCCTCGTCCCCACTCTGTTGCACAGTACCCGTCCCAGGACAACCCCGTGGCGGTGTACGCCCACTTTACATGCACATCAAAGGTCCATGTAGGTTGCAGAGTAGCAGGAGCACTCTCAATCCACATAGGCCAGCGACGACAATTGCAGACAGCGCACGGCCATGGCCAGCCTATAGGGCTTTCGACATTTCGCTGCTAGCGCCTCCCATGTGCTGCTCGTGCTCGCGACGGCGACTTTGATGTGGGTCGCTCCCCAAGCCATCTGCCCATCGACGACATCGAGCATCAAGGCGGCCACATGCTAGCCAGGTACTCCCGTCCATCTCACGGCATTCACGCCCCATATGCGTCGACAAGTCGACACACATGGCAAAGAAAACAACGTCGGTGAGCGCCTCAACCCAATGTCAGCCTCACGACAATGCTTCCATGGACCACAGCCGGGCACAGAGCTACCGTGACAGCTGTCATCGCACCATGGATGACTCCTGACTATTGCAAAATTTTCCCCTCGACAACAGCTTCACAGCTGTCAAGCCGCTTCCGGCTCCAATCCATGTGCAGAAGAAAAATTTTCATCTCTCTTGCTGGACAAGATCAGGTTTCCAGCCTGACCGCTATATGTTTTGATGTTGCTTGTCTTACCACTCGCACCAGTCAGCTGCCAGAACAGCCACACGACACCACCCGTCCATCCTCACAGTTGAGGCGCTACACGGCACACTCTGTCGCTTCACCGCCATTCACCCCCCTACCGTTGACAACAATAACAACAACAACCACATCGACGTCAACGACAACAACGACAGCACCACCAGCATCACCACCAGCAAGAACAACAACGCCGTCAGACGTCCAGCAACATGTGTGCCGCATCGCTCGATCGGGCGCGTTGGACCCAAGCAGAGGTAGTGTTGCTTGATATCGGTATGTCGCAAAGCTGTCTTGAAGTCGCTGTTGGTGCATGACTATACATGTACATACCTTCACCTACAACACACACACACACACGTACTTACACGCACACGCCACATTTTGCCTCAGCAATGGCCATTGTCGTTACTGGTCACACAAGCACTTACTGCTACGAGTATTGTAAATGCACACATGTACTGACACGGGCACGCAGAGGGCACCATCTCGAGCATCTCATTCGTCAAAGATGTCATGGTAAGCCTAATCTCTTCTGTCCTTGGCCTCGCATGTCGCTGCTTCCCCGCATTCGGCAGCGCAACGACCACTGCCGGGGCAACATCGCCAAATATGTCGACAATGACGCTGGGCGGGGCCTCGACGTCTTCGCCAGGCCGTTTGTCGGCCATGTAGCCTCCTGTCCATCTCTGCCCTCTTTGTTCTAGACGCTGTCGTGCTCTCTGCCTGCCTGCCTCCTCCAGCCATCCCGCCACTCGTTTCCGTCATCTGTCACGCGAGACGACAGTGGTGGTGGGGCCTCCTCGTTGCGCTATGTGTGTGTGCTCACAATAGCCGCAGTACCCGTATGCACTTGACAGTCTCACAAGACTGGCACGCCATTCATGGGCTGATCCCGACTTCCAATCCCTCATCGCCGCCTTTCCAGACGACACCAAGCAGAGCTCCGACGCTCTGCTCGCCCACGTACAAGACCTGACACGGCACGACATTAAAGCAGTGTATTTGAAGCAGCTACAAGGTGGGTTACAAATGAATCCGTTTCAACCTCGTCGGCAACCCTAGTCCCATCTCTTGGCCGCCGCCTCGTGCCAGGACCCTCGCTGGATCATCGCCACCAAGCGCCGACACCGCGCTGCTCTAAACCCACTAGTCCCGCCGACTTCATCTCTTGATTCGATCGGCCACTCACCACCGGCTGCATTATCGCGATAGTCGCCATCCTACTCCAGCCACCCAACCAATCGTCCAAACCCTCTTTCGTCAGCTCGACGCCGCTTTCAGCTTGCACTCGGCCTCCTGCAGCACAGCACAACCCTTCCCTCCCATCGTCACTTTGCGCCCTGCTGGCGCACTATCGTAGCACATGCACTCTGTCTTTGATAGCACTGTTGGCATACTCCACTCAAACTGACTCTTCTCTCTTGCGCAGGACATCTTTGGACCACTGGCTTCCGCAACGGTCATCTCAAGACCCCACTGTTTGACGATGTGGTCCCCACGCTAGAAGCTTGGAAAGCTGCTGGCAAAGCCCTGGCCATCTTCTCGTCCGGCAGCGTGCAGGCACAGCTCCAGTTCTTTTCCTACGTCAAAGATGGATCCGAGACCAGAGACATCAAGCCTCTGTTCTCTGCCCACTACGATACCGTCAACGCTGGCCCCAAGATGGACAAAGCTTCCTACGATAAGATATGCTCCGAGCTTGGAAAGCCTCCATCCAAGGTTGTGTTTTTGACAGACAACGTAAAAGGTATGTTGCCCTTCTCCGCTTGTCCTGAAACAACACACTATCCATCATCTTTGCCGATTGCACACACACATACCCCCACTGTAATTACCCCTCCTTCCCCCCTTCCACTGCCCAATTCGTCGGTCGATCATCACACCATCACGCACCGGCCCTGACTACAAGTACCCACATGTGTATCTAGTACACATGTAGGGTACATGCTCCGTCATGCGACATACAAATGTCCCTCATTGTCCCACTGCCTTTTTATTTGCCCACATGGACTACAGCGAAAAAAGGCCTCGTGTAACTCACCCGTCACGCGATCCCGCGCGTCCCCCCACTTACATTGCTGTCGCATGTTTCATACCACAAGTAACCACCGGCTATGATACTAACACGTTTCTTCTGCAACAGAGGCTGAAGCGGCAATCGAGGCCAACGTCTACGCTGTTGTTGTCGACCGTCCGGGTAATGCGCCACTGTCTGATGCGACAAAGGCGAGGTTCCCAGTCATTGAGAGATTGACTGATCTGCCTTGAGTCGAGATTTGACACCTCTCTCCCGCTTCTCTAGTTATGAGATTAGATACTCTTCTCATGGCCCAAAACTCTTGTTTGCAAATGGTGCAATGTTAAACCCGAATGCCAGCAGTTCAATGCTCAAAGTGAGCAAAAAAGTACATGTTTTTTATTCAATTGCTCTACTGCATTTTCCGCATCAATTCCATCCCTAGCGCTGCATTCGTTGTCTGCATCTCACTTCGCTGTAGGTCGACAAGCTGATTCAAGCGCTTCACCGCTCGAATTTGTGTCTTTCCACTTGCTCTCTTTCTGTTGTCCACGTATTTGTTTTCCTCGTGCCACTACGCCAGCATCTCTCCCGCAACACGCTGAATCCACTCGGCCGTCTCGTCCACCCTGCTCAAAAAAGGACTATGCCCACTCTTGATCCTCGTAACATGCATGATTGCGCCCGCCTCTTCTGCTGCCTTGACCATCTCCTCCTGCAAGGCCGGTGGCAGCGCCAAATCGTCCTGGCAAAGCAGATAGCTACTCGGAATGTGCCTCCATGCCGCATACGTCGCCGGCGTGGTGAATGAAGCGATGCCCTGGGTCCTCAGAAACGTAGCCCAATACTTTTGCTCCTCTTCGGAAAGATCGTTGTAAAAAAGCTCGGGTGTTGTGCAGGTGAGATTTGGACCAGCAGGGACAAAGGTGGGCGAAGGAACATTGTGCGTCTTTTGCAGCAGACTGACACCCTCGGGTAGGACAAAACTCGCCATGAACGCTATTCTGATGACGCCGCCTTTGAGGCCCTGGGTCTCGCGCTCTCCCTTGCTCAGGCCCTTGAGCCCAGTGCCCGTTACCACGCCGCCCCAACTATGAGGGGCAACAATGACATCGTTGCCTTGCCCAATGGCTTCTTCCACTGTGCGCCGAAGAATCCCAATGTCTTCGCTGAGGTCGCTAGGCGGGCTGGGATTACCGACCGATGCCATTTGCTGGCAATGCATTGTGTAACCCAGGGCTTGCAGCTTCTTCATCAACGGGACCATGCATGCTGGGGTGTGTAGCGCCCCGGGCACCAGCACGAGATGAGGCTTAGTCATACTCAACGTGGGGGTAGGGGAACGTTGGAAACCGTTCGAGCGGGGGTGGGTGCGTTCGGCCAGATATCGATGCTACGATCTGGTAGGGGAAATGACACTGAGGAATCGAATCGTCAGTCGGAACGTGTCGGTGCCCCTGAGTCGGTGGTCAACGTGAACGGGGCTAGGTTTGGATATCAGGCATCCATAAGCTTGTGCAGGCCTGTGGATCCTTCCTCTGAAAATAGTTAGAGTTAGGCGCCTGCACGGGACGTGGCTAACCAGGACTCGCTGCTTGTAGCAGCCTACGTGTCCATTCAACCCGCATGGTAAAGACTGAGCACGCGCGTACGTACTCAACACACAGTACTAGCTTCGCTAGGATATTTTCTTCAGACACCAATCAGCGTGTGCCGGTACTAGCGCTGCTTAGTTAGTGTTGCCAACCTGCCGGCTATCCTCACGTAATCCAGTCTCTTTCCGTCTGGCTATACAGGGTCATACTCCTGAGGCACTCAAATTGCAACACCGTCCAAGAATTATGCCGGAGTCCTGGACTTCCAACATTCCCATTGAATTGGCCATGGCTGGTATGTAAGTAGTCAGAAAGGATGGCTTCGGCGCAATTAATCATGGAACTCTCTTGGTTGGATCCTGGTGGGCGGGAGTAAGGAGGCTCTTGCTGTACAGGCAAATCCTTTTCGGGTGGCTGGCTTCAACAATTGTCCATCAACTACGCAGTTATTTGTCCGGAAAGTTTATGGGTGTTCCCTTGCTTGTATCGTCCTTTTTGCACATGGCTTCGCAATCGGTCCTTCGCCGTCCAACTTTAAACTCATGCAATATTCCGTCTCTTGAAAGCTGACCCAACCGAATGCTATGGCCCTTATTGGAACTAATCGACATCAGAAGCCTGTAGTACATGCATCATGACACCATGGTCTCTGTTGAGGGTATGCCACTGTCGGGTACCGGTACTGAGTCCCAAAGCAGAATCCTTACAACTATATGACAAAAGCCAACTTCGACATGTGAGCTGACAGTGTCTCCGTGTTGGCGATGTTTGACGGTGGTGGTATGGGCATGCGTAGGTTTGTGGGAGCCATTAGACTTCTTTTCCCAGGTTCTGACTTCGTTCCCAATCTCTCAACCTGACCGTGATCTACGATCAGGAGATTGATGAGGCGGGGTGGTGTGCATCCCTCGGAAAATTCGTCATCCGCGTTGATATAGGCCGTTGTCCATGTTGCCGAGTTTGCCTCAGGGGGAATCCATCGACGTCCTATCTGGATTCTGGGTGTGAAAGTGGTTGATGGAAAAGATTGCAAATCGAAAATGTGGTATCGTGTGTGGTGTGGGGACTGATGGGGACTAGCTGGTTAGCGAGACAGGCACCAGGGCAGTTTTGAACAACGTCGCAGCCAATGACAGCTCGATATCTGGTGTCCGTCGGAGTTTGTGGGCTTGTCCGGAGCATGTACAGCATTCATCACGTCGCAGAACCATCTCTTGTGAATATATACAATCAGGTTGAATTTGGGTATTACTGCATGTTTGTCATGACCCGAAGTTGGTGCAGTGGGACGCCTCCAACGCCGAATGCCCAGTTCATCCACTCTAGGCATAGATCTTATAGTACTGTATCGCTCACTGCATGCATGGTTTTAAAAGAACCTCCACCATATGAAAACAATAATGATGAAGGCAAGTCCACCAACAGGCCCGTACTGTATGTTGGTTAGCCTTTTAATTTGCCAGTTTACTATGCTTATTGCGTTAACTCACCTGCTTGAGCAGTAGTTCCCAATTGATACGCACAGCCGCCTTCTTATACTTTCTGCTGTCTTCGCGCAGCCGACTCGAAATGTCGCCCATCCTCTCCAGGCTATCTCCACGGTAGAGAAGATCTTCAATATTCTTGGTCATGACCTTTGTGACATCCTTCAACTCATCATTCAGCTTATCGAGGTTTTGTGTCGCTCTTGAATCTTGGTATGTTTTCTTTGTGCGTTGAATGAAGGTGTCAAATTCCACAAAGGCATACGGGCGGCAAGTTGGCGAGAGATATTGCTGGGGTTGGTAGGTGGTGGTGAATTCGCGCGAGAGATCGGACAAGTAGGTGAAGGCAAGCTTGCGGGGGTAGGAGCGGTCGCAAATGCAGAGGAAGCAGAGGTCGCCTTCGATTAAGTAGCTGGTGACAAGGCGTCAGCATGAGTCGTGGCGGCTCTACCCCTTTTGCGAGAGGGAAGAGGGAGGCAGAAGGCGGGCATTACTGGTATGTGTAGCTGCCGCTCTCTATGCTTGCTTGTGGCTCCGAGTTGCGGTTCAGGCGGCGCTGGACGAGCTTCACCTTGCCCTTGACCTCATTGAATTCGGCGTCTGTCTGGGGAACAGTGAGCCTTGGTTATGGAGGCCGCGCACAATCTTGGAATGGACAGTACCTGTTCGTCATCGACTGAGGCGGTCAATATCAGGCCTGCGAACCAGTCAGAACTCCGGCATATGTCTGCTCATTCATGATGCTGCCACCAACCATCCAGCCGGGATATCATCGTGTGCTTAATCATGTTGGCGGTGCGGGTGTCGGGCCAGGACTGTGTGCTATGCAGTGTCGTTTAGTCACCCAGAAACGCTACAGGCGCGTTTTGGTGGGGGGGTAGCAGATGCAAATTCAGGCTACGTGTCGGCGTTGGTGCAAGCCAGACAGCGGAACATGACGATGCGGAAAGGGTGCGGGAGAGCGCACAGACACACCAACGCCATGTCCAGTATGTTATGTCTACTATGTTTATACCATGCGACCGCACGTGAATGCGACAACATCCATGTACTCTGAGCATCATGCCTTAACCAATGTGAATGGTAAAGCTGCTGTTCTGCTGCCCCTTCACTTCCTTGCCTCTGCGATTGGAGCTCCATAACACTAATCTGGACACTGGACATTGACCGACACCACCATCACCATCCCGTGCATCGTTCGCCTGCTAGCTTTTTATTCACCTCTGTTGCATGCAACTACCTTGCATTCAAGAGCACAAAATGTCACTACCTGTGCGGTACGTTGCATGTCTTTCACTGTTTGCCAAGATTGTTGCCTTCCTACTGTTTCCGCTTCACGCCGACTGCTGAATAGTACTTGTCTTTTCTTCCCCAACACGACACTAGCCTCGAACGGTTTCTCATACCCCATCTGACCGATTCCTAACGCGTAGTCCTAGATCACCTTCTAAAGAGTCGAGTACTTCACACCACCATCTACCGACTACAGTTTCGCCTACAGTGAACGTAATGAGCTCAACACACCATGAAACCAATAAATCTTCTCCCAAGATACCAGACATGGAAACCGAACTGGCGCAGATAGAAGCCACATCTTCATCTCTCACTTCTCAACCGACTTCTCCCGACTCTTCAATCCAGATGCAACATGCACAGGCGCCTCAGCTCGAACCAACCACCACTTCAACCTCCGATGCAGGTGCTAATTGTGCATCAATGGAAAGTCCGAAGACTCGTGAAGAAGATCATGAGTTGGCATCTGTATCCAGTATGCCACATTCAAAAAGGATTAACAACAAGGCAAGCGCGACACCAAACAGCAACGCAACTATGAAGAAGCCTGCTCGCAAAAGGTCTGCGCCCGGGAAAACTACTGCACCAACCCCCTCCAGGTCGCAACCTTCAAGAAACCGCAAAGCTCCTGAGCGCTTCGAAAACTTTGAGGAGAAAACTGCCAAAGCTCTGCCCAGCAAGAAGGGTACCAGTAAGGTTTTTGACTCCGTCTTCATCACAACAAACTCCACCAGCCGCTTGGTCAAGGCAGACATATACGCAAGTCCGATTGCTTCTACACAATTTTACCTCGCTAATACAACACAGCATATGCTTCTTGAAGGCTCAGCCTGGTCATGCCTTAGTGCAGAACAACAGAGCACGCTCATTGCTATGTTACCTCAGGATAGTACAAACCAAGGTTTGTTGACCAAGATCAACGCAGGCGAAACGGAAATCACACGACCATCAGCTTTCACTTTGGCAAATGACTGCTTTCGAACCGATGTCGCAAAGTTCCAGGAAGATCTCAAGAATGGTCATTTAGCCAAAACTTGGCAGACCGCTGCTGAACAGGCAGTCATTGAACGCGCAGCAGGAGAGTACGACAGGTGGAAAGCTGAAGAAGCAGAATCCTGGTGGGGTCAAAAAAGCGTGTAAAGCATCGTTGTTCAGAAATGCCTGCCATCAGACCAAGGTGGGTGACTTCGCGTCGGTAACCTGAGTTCACACATGTGATATGTAATGTGGCGTTCAGAGACAAACTTTAGTCCTCCATCCCGGCAGCCAGAAACCAATTCATGCTGCCTGCTGTATGACCTAAAATATTCGGAGTTCATTTGGTAATTTAAGATTCCTCCATTTCATCATGTGCAGGCGTTGTGACACTAGGTTCGACACTGAATTTGCATCGACGATCGTTTTTGATCACACTATCCTTATGCTCCAATCCTCAATCTAACCAAAATGGCTCCTCTTCCTTGTCCTGGGCTTCGTCTATTCTCTGACAGCGTCCGTGTCCGAGTGCTTGTTGTGAGTCGTCTCTTACCGTTCATGTTTTACAGCCGGTATTTTGAGTAATTGGTGTAGAAAAATGTCTCATTCGCGCAGATTTTCACGTATTATCATTTGGTCAATCACCTCAGGAAGAAGAAGAACAAAAAAGAGAGCATGACAACAAAATAATTAGTCGTATTTGATTCTATTCAGGAATTGTATCTACGAGCACAGTTTCCCCGTGCACGAAGCCAACTCTCAAAACATACATTTGAAGAGAATCCCCACTCTCATCATCAATCGCAGGCCCAAACATGCTCAAAACCTGAGTGTCGCACCAGCAATACCAACAACAGCAGCCTTGACATCCTTGGCCTCCAGGAGCTGGGAAACCGCATAAGGCGCCTTCGTAAACGTACCTGTGGGTGCAGTGTTGCTGCTGTTACCAAAGTCGTTGCCAGAGGCGACTGCGAAGCCTTTATCAATAGTGTACAGCGCCTTCATGGGGTTAATCCAGACGTTGTTCTGGACAACGACCTGTGCGCCTTGGCGTACGTTGATGCCATCGTTGACGTCCTCGAAATAGTTGTTGTAGATGTGGCCGGTACCAAAGCGGATAGAAGGGGCACGCGAGTTGATGTTGCGCCAGTAGTTGTTGTTGTACGTGACCGTGAGGTGGCCCTTGTCTTCAGCGGCGTTTTTGTCAGAGTGTCCCACGAGTGAGCACTTCCAGTGGTCGTGCAGGTAGCTGTTGGATACGGTGACAAAGTCGGCTGCGTCTGTGATGTCAATGAGGCCATCGTAGTAATCCTTTTCGTGGGACCTGTCCGATGACACTTCAACATGGTCAACCCAAACGTTCTGAGCCTTCTGGATTGCAATGGAGTCGCCATGTACAACGTTTCGGACGACAACATCACGGATGATAACGTTCTTGACACTCTTCGCTGTGAGAGTAAAATTGGAGAGGACAACGGATGAGTCCTTGCCAATGACTCATTTGTTGCTACCAATGTGGATATTGTCTCCATTTCCAGAGATTGGCCCGGTGATGACAACAATAGCTGCCGCATCGCCTTTGACAGCGGCTTCGAGATCAGCAAGAGAGGCGACTTTGACGACCTTGCCTCCCTTGCCTCCTGATGTGCCTCCGTTTGTGGTAGCAAAACCTGTGGTTGCAACATCCTCTAGAGACGCCTGACGCTTGACAAAACTAGAGGGTGCTGCTAGACTAGAAACAGCCATAAGACCCAATGACAGAACTGTAAACTTCATTGTGGTAGCAATTTATTGCTGAAAATTGATATGAAGTGGATAGAAAAGCCGAAGCACTGAATCTATTCCTGTAGATGAGAATTGAACAGCCGTGTCTTTTCAAATCTATGTGAAATTCATGTGGGACCTTTACTATACAAGACACGCCAACCCAACTCCTCATCTATCTTACCTACTGCTTCCCCAGGCTTGGTAAAGCTTCTTTGGGTCCAAGCTACCCAAGCATCTGGTTCCAAGCCATATTGCACCAATGGCTTCTCGTGAAGTAGGCCAAAATGACTCGATCTACTACTATTAGCTCCGGATAATTGACCCTCGTTTACCGGGGTATGGAGAGGGGGCAAGCTATGCCAGGTGTTGACGTTTTCCTCGGTGCTTAAGCGGAATGTTTCAAGTAGCACAACTAACCAAGAATATACGAATATCTCCGCATCCCCACTGAGCGATATTAAAAGGGCCCTCGTTTGAAATTTCGGATTAAACGTCGATAGACGTTCATAGGTTTCGCTGTGAAAATAGGCAGCACTCAATAGCTCCCAATTGATGTTGTTAGAGATGGAAACAGAGAGGTGACATGATGATAGACGACATTTCAGAATGCATTCTCTGAATCCTTGCAATCGACAGTAAAAACATGTGATTGTGCGATCTTCCACGGTGAAATTTAATCTAAGTTCCTTCCAGAAGCGAGTAAGTATACGAGGGGAAACGTGTAGACCATAGCTCCAGTCAAACCACGAGTCATTCAATGTCATGCACCTGCCTACTAGTAAGTAACCAGCCAGTCTCCCCACGCCGAACATCTAAGATGAATTAGGGAAAAACCTATCCCGCTAACACAACGTCATTTCCAATCACGACCGACAGCAACACAAGTCGTGTTACAATCAAATCGTTGCAGAAATTCGCACCACTGAACAGTCTTTAAATAAATTGTTGCTGCAACATCTAAGACGTGAACTAAAAAAAGATGTGAAATGCTGCCCATACAAAATCCCATTGATATGCATCGCGTGGAGCCCTGCCCAACGTCTGACTAGTACGATAGGGCATTTCGGAGTCTAGAAAGATGGCTACCAGACAAGGTAAGTGGAGCGAGAAGAATGAATCGAGTACGGAGAGGCATTTTTAGACCCCCTGCTTATATTTTTCGCAAACGCCGAACACCTGTTCCTTCTACTCATTGGAAGCGTGTACAACCTGAGCATCTGTAAAATCCTATTTGTCGATTTGTTATGCTAATCGGCATATTTTCAAAAAAAAAGTGGTAAAAGAGTGGTGCGTCGATGCCTGTGCAATGCTGTTTTGTCCTCTGGATAGACAGGGAAAATGATCTCTCCGCTAGTATTCGTTCGACTTTTGTACTTCGGTAACGGCTTGGCCAAGGAGCGTATTGAAACCAATAAAGCAAGGCTCAACATCACATACATCAATGTAGACATAGCTACACATGCACTAGTCCCATGAATCGAAGAACAGTGGTTCGCGTCACGTGTTGTTGTGACATCATCGCCCAAAGCAGTAACTTCCACCCAAAGCTCTCAAGGGTTCACCTGAAAGTTCCATAGTTCAAGGCAGCAACAACCCTTTTTTCACACCGTGCCTATAATTTAGGATCTTCCCAAGAACTTTACATCGCGATTACGAGTAATAAACCCGCTCGCTCGCTCTATACTATTATCCATGATTCAGCAAAGACAGCAGACTCCAAAACCACAAGCAAAGTAACTTACAAAGCTGTGAAGCTACCGGCACCACACCTTTCCACAATGCCCCCAATCCCAATTCACAAGAACTCACCTATTGCACCAATTACGGCCGCAAAAGCAAATGCGATAACGCCCGAGACTGCGTCGTCAAACAACAACGCCGCCACCAACCCACCACCTACCCGCACCACGCCCGCCCATGTTCCCGCAACAACTACACAATCGTCGTCGTCGTCGCCTCCCGCACCACAGCCTGGCGCCCGCCCTGCCGCCCCCACAGCGACAGTAAGCAGCGACGGTTACAACACCAATGGGACACCAGCGCCCCCACAGCCGGGTCCTACAGCAACTGTAGTGACAACAGAAACGCGACAAGTCGGTCCGCCTCCACAGTTTAGCCGCCCACCGCCTTCGGACTCGATGCTGGCAGGGCGCTCAACAGTGACTACAACGGATCCTTCCTTGTCTACGGCTAGCAAGCCTGGTCCAACGACCCTGAATTTTGGTCCTGTTGCTTCGCCCTTTCAAACACTGGACTCTGGCAATGCGGTACCACAGCCTACAAGAACGAGCTTAGAGCATCCTCCCGGCTATGTACAAGCACCAGACAACGCCCCTTACACTACTGGAGGTGGCATTGGTACGTCGAGCGGAGTGGACCAAGGTGATGGAGGTCAAGGCGAGGGTGTGGGAGCACAGGCCTGGCAGTTGTTGAGCAAGGCAGGAGAGGCGCTCAAGAAGGGCGAAGAGAATGTATGGAAGGCCATCAACAACAAAAATGGCGGTGGCTTCTAACCGAGATGGTCATCGTGAGTAGCGTTAGTGAGACATCAAATTTATCATCAACCCAGTATCCACTCAAACATCACATCGCAAGAGGCACATGTTCTGTACAAAGAAACCCATGACTTTCTATTGACCACTTATTTTCCCCATTGCACCGAGCGATGAAAAGAGGAAATACAGTCAAAAACAGACAAAGCAATGCAAGCCGGATATGACGTGTGAATGTTGTAAAGTACAAGAGTGTGTTACCACTCCGGGGTCGTGCTTTGCGTCAGCAGGAGCAATCGTCAGCCCACTGAGCGTCCAATTGCTCCAACACGGACACCTCATCCCCATCTCTCACGTCGCAATTAGCTGTTTCCGCCACATAAACGCAGGTTTGGGGTATCGAGGAGGGAAGAGAGGCGCTTAACCGGATCCACCCTTGAACTTCTTGCCGAAGAGGAGGAGCTGAGCCTGGTCGTAGATGGACAGGACACCGGCACCAGCAACACCACGGAGGATGTTGGCACCAGCACCCTTGAAGAGGGAGGTGACACCCTCAGCGGCGACAATCTGGCGGGCGGCATCCATGGTACCCTTGTACTTGACGGCCTCACCAGAGGTCATCATCATACGACGACGAATGGTGTCGAGAGGGTAAGAGGCGATACCGGCACCAGTGGTGACAGCCCAACCAAGAGCGAAAGAGGCCAAGAAGTTACCCTCGAGGGTACCGGTGAGGAGGACAGGCTTGATCGAGTCGTACATACCGAAGTACAGACCACGGTAGACGACGATACCAGCAACGGAGGGCATGAAACCACGGTAGAGACCAGCAATACCATCGGAGGCGAGAGTCTTCTTGTAAACGTCTACAAGACCGTTGAACTGGCGCTCACCACCCTTCTTGGCCGACTTGGCGTCGTTGGCGAGACGGGTACGGGCGTAGTCAAGGGAGTAGACGAAGAGGAGGGAAGTGGCACCGGCAGCCTAGTGTTATTAGCATGTGAATAAAGCCTTGGGCCATTGTCCAAACTTACACCACCGGAGGCCAAGTTACCGGCCATCCACTTGGCGTAACCGTCACGCTCCTTCTTGTAGGCGAACATGGACTTGTAGGTGTCGCGGAAAGCGAAGTTCAGGGCCTGGGTAGGGAAGTAACGGATGACGTTGGCAGTGTTACCACGCCAGAGGGAGAGGACACCCTCGTTCTTGGCGGTACGGCTGAAGCACTCGACGATACCACCGTACTTGCGGTCGAGACGACCGGACTTGAGCATCTCATCCTGCGGGGTATGAGCAATTGTTATGTGGAGTTTGTTGAGTTGAAGCGTACCTGGTTCTGGATGAGGAGCTTGACACGCTCGATGGGGGCAGCAGCGGTCTTCGAGACGGCGGCGGAGACACCACCCACTGATAAGCTGTTAGTTTCCGTTACAGACGTAAAAGTTCATTGATAGCCTCAACATCGAGTTGCAATGCCAATGGCATCCAATCCGATGGAGTTATCAATGCCGATGAGACGTACTCAAGAAGTCCACCACGAAACCCTGAATATGTCGTTAGCACATGTTGCAGATAGGAGAGAGGGCAACCACAGTCAACCCCACCAGCCAGCACGAGCATCTATAACGATACCAATCTCATCTCAACGGATCGTCGGCTCGCTACGAGAAATCGTATCGATGGAATTGATGTGCCATTGAGTTGAGTGCGCGGGCTAGTGGCATTGTGGGCTGCGGGTGAGGGCTCGCGGGAAATGGGTGTACATACGGGCATGCCCATGAAGCTCTTGTCTTGCTGTTTACCCGACATCTTGACGACGTTTAGAGGGGAGATTGGGTGAAGAAGGTAAGGTTGCAGAGGCTGGCGCTGCGTTAAGGGAAGACAGGTGTATTTGTAGCGAAAGCTGCGACAAATTCTGCCAGCTGCGCTAAGCCGCGCTAGGCCAATCACGTGCTAGTTTCCACACCCGCGATCCCGAGCGCTTCCACATCTACACCTCGGATTTGCGGACTGGGGAAAAAGTACTTCTGATATACGTTTCACGCACAATCTGGTGCTTTGTCTTTTCGACTGTGCGTTGCTTCCGCAATTGGCTTGCACAATGCAACTTTTGTCACCGTCTTTTTGGTATCCTAGAGTTTCAAGTGATTGTGGCACCACAGAAGCGTTGCCGGCGCAGCAACTAGCAAGCGGATACACTTTGACGGAATCGCCTCCATGGGCAGCCGGCAGGCATTGATTCAACACTTGGAAAAAATCCACTGTGGGGATGTACAAGTGTCCAGATACCTTTTCTAGCTCAAGTTTCCCAGGTTCTTAGGCCTCTCCTTTTCGCGAGCGGCCACCGTCAGGGTCCGCCATTTTTAGGTCGGGTAATCTCGGGTAGTGATCCCTGCACGGTCCAACATTGCAATCGTAGCGGCAAGACGCAGGGGCCTAGGACTCTAGAGGGGCGAATTTTCCATCGCCTTGGCCGCTATTGGAAGACGTGCTGTGGTTCGCGAAGCCTTTGTCGAG